GTTGGGGGCAAGAGCAGGGGGCTGGGAGCCAGGACTCCTGGGTTCTCTCCCTGGTTCTGGGGGGCAGTGGGGGGCTGGAAACCAGGACTCCTGGGTTCTCTTCCCAGCTCTGGGAGCTGAGTGGGGGCTGGTGGGTTAGAGCAAGGGGGGCTGGGAACCAGGACTCCTGGGTTCTCTCCCCAGCTCTGGGAGCTGAGTGGGGGCTGGTGGGTTAGAGCAGGGGGGCTGGGAGCCAGGACACCTGGGTTCTATCCCCTCCTGCCCCCATAAAGGGGGTTCAGTGAAGGTAGGAAATGCGCCTGGAACCCTGTTCTATTCATTCTAGACCAGTAGCACCAGAGGTGCTGCCTAGCCACGCAGACAGCCCGTGGGTGGGTGGGGAAACTGAGTCACGCAGCGGGGAAGGGACTTGCCCAAGGTCAGCCAGCAGGGCAGTGGCAGAGGTGGGAACTGCTCCCAGCCCGGTGCCCCCCTCTCAGCTCTGTTCTCCCCCCAGAGCCCGGCGCCATGGCCCCCTGGCCTGTGGCCCTGCTCCTGCTCAGCCTGGTGGGGCTGGCGCATTCGGAGAGTCGTGAGGAGGAGCCGGGGCGGAGCCGGCGGGGGGCGGGCGGCCGAACCCCCCCCCGGGGCCAAGTGCACCTACACGTTCATCCTGCCGCAGCAGAAGTTCACGGGGGCCGTGTGCTGGAGCAGCGTGCGAGCCGCCCCCGAGCCGCCGGTGCCCAACGGCAGCGAGACGCGGGCGCTGCAGGAGGTGCTGGGCCGGCAGCAGGCCGAGCTGCAGCGGTTGCGGGGGCTGGTGGAGGTGGACGGCGCCCTGGTGAGCGAGGTGAAGGCCCTGCGCAAGGAGAGCCGCGCCATGAACGCCCGCGTGGGCCAGCTCTACGCCCAGCTGCTGCACGAGATCCTGCAGCGGCGCCAGCCCGGGCTGCTGGCCCAGCTCGAGGGACGCGTGGCCAACGCCTCGGACCAGGCGCTGCGGCTGGCCGCCGGCTACCGCCAGCTGGAGCTGCGCTACCAGGCGCTGGCCGCCCTCGTCAACAACCAGAGTGCCCTCATCGCGCGGCTGGAGCGGTGGTGCCAGGGGGGCGCCGGGCCGCCCCCCCCACAGGTAACGCCAGGGCGGGGGGACAGTGCTGGGGGGGACGGAGCAGGGAGTGGGGGGGGGGTCGAGCGGGGGGTGCCCCACGCGGTGCAGCTGTGGGGCCGCCCGGGCTCAGGGCCCCGTCTCGTCTCCCCACAGCCCCCCCTGGTGCCGGTCGTGCCCCCCCGCCTGTCCGGCATCGCCAACGAGAGCCGGGCGTATTTTGATGCCGCCGCCCAGCTGCAGATGGACCAGACGGAGCCAGCGCCCCCCACGCTGCCCCCCAGGGCCCCGGGTGAGTCAGGCAGCCAGAGCCGGGGGGGGGACGACCTAGATTGCAGCCCCCCTGCCCCCGGGGCTGTTCCCTGCTGAGGCCTCGGTGCTGGCTGCAGAGCGTCTGCAGCCCGAGCCAGGCCGGGGAGGGAGGGGAGGAGAAGGGGGGCCTGGCCCACGGCCTCCCCCTCCACGCCTGGGACGTGCCACCGCCCCCCACTGGCTTTGGCTGAACATCCATGGGGGGGGCGAGTGTGGGGCCAGGTTTCACCACAGGCTTTACAGGCTGACAGGGCCATAAAACAAAGTTCACCCCCCCAACTCACCACCTCGCCCCCCCTCATGGGGCCTGGCCTGCCCCCCCCCGACCCAGGGCGTCTCCCCCCCACCTGCCCCTCCCCAACTCACCACCTCGCCCCCCCCCCGCATGGGGCCTGGTCTGCCCCCCCGACCCCAGGGCCTCGTCCCCACCACCTCTCTCCCCCCCCCAACTCACCACCTCGCCCCCCCTCATGGGGCCTGACCTGCCCCCCTCTCTCCCCCAACTCACCACCTCGCCCCCCCTCATGGGGCCTGACCTGCCCCCCTCTCTCCCCCAACTCA